TTTTTTTTTTTTTTTTTTAATAGTGTTTTAGTTATGCGAATTCTTTCATCATTCGCCCAATCTACAATTTTCCTACAACTTTATCATCGCATTACATTAAGGATAATGCTATACACATACATAACTCCTTACCACCGCTAGAGATGTCAAAAGGGCTGAGCTGTTCGTCGGCTCAGCTCGTCAAAATAGAACTCGTGGGTGGCTCAGGTTCGTAAAATCACGAGCCCGAACGTTTGCCGAGCGGAACCCGTCGAGAGGCGAGCCGAGCGAAGGTGCCCATGAGCGGCTCATTTGAACGGGCTCGTGGCTCGTTATTTTTAACGAGCCAAACGAGCCATGAGCCACTCAGCTCATGGCTCGCAAAGAGAGTGACCAAAATGGTCACTAAAAAAATTTCAGTGACCAAACGGTCATTGAAATATTTATTTTATTTTATATTTTTCCTCCTTCTACTATAAATACCCCTTTGTTTTTTTTTTCCATATCAATTACTCATTCACTACTCCAACTCTCTTTTATTATATTAATTATCGAGTTTTTACTCTCTTGTGCTGCAAAATATACAATATCAATTCAATTTTTACAATTTATTAGTTACAATTTCAATTCATCCAATTCTCAATTCTCACAATCTCACTACATTTATATTTTTCTAGTTATTATATTTGGATTTCATCATAAACAATCAAACAAATGGACCAACGCTCATTTGTTGAGAGCTTATTTGATACGGGATGTGGGCCACATCATGGCGAATCGCCTAGGATGCCGCAAAGTCAATTTCCAAATGAATTTGTCGATCTAAATGACATACCCATACCTGAAGATGTTCACATTCACGGTCAGAGAAACCACAATCCAATTGATTTGGATAATATTAACGTTCCCGAAGCGGAACATGAGAACGAAGATGCCGAATTAAACATCCCAAATGCGAGGGAAAAGTGAAAGAGCAAAAAACAAGCAAAATGTTAGGATCATTTTAAATTGATTTCAAGGGGGAAAGTCGTCGATGATCTTGTAGAATCTAAAGCAGTACGTAAATACTAATAACAAAAATTGACATGACAAAAAGGAATTGGTACCACCCATCTCAACCGCCACTACAAAGCATGTGCAACCAGACATGGACTTCTTTCAACTGGTCAAACACAATTACATTTTAACAGTCTAGGTACCGGTTCTAAGAGTTCACCCATATCCACGTGGGTGTATTCGGAGGACAATACTCGAATCGGAATGATGAAATTTGTTACCGCCACTGAGTTGCCTCTAGTTATTGCAGACAACCAACACTTCGTCTCGTTCGTGAAAGAATATCTGCAACCGAGGTACGTTGGGGTAAGTCGAAACACTTTTCGTGCCGATACAATACAATATTTCAATAATTCAAAACAACAATTAATTATAGATTTGCAACAATATGAGGGTGTTCTATCTTTAACTTCTAATATATGGGAAGGGGTTAATAAAAGAGCATATATAGCTGCAACTGCACACTATATAGACTCACGTTGGTGCATGCATAAGAAAATTATTGCTTTTAGAATTATTGAGTTTCTTCACAATGCTAATAATATATAAAATACTATTATCAGTATTTTTAGAGAATATAATTGTGAGACTAAAATTCGGTCTTTTACTTTTGATAATACCAGTGCTAATAAGATAGTCGTTGATAAATTGTGTAGGACATTTCAACCTGATTTTGGTGGGTATTTGTTTCATATTCGTTGTGTATGTCATATCTTGAATTTAATTGTACAAGATAACTTAAAACATTTAAATGATGAGCTTCAAAGGATTAGGAATGCATTAGTACATATCACGGTCTCTTCTAGTAGAAAATAAGTATTTGAAGATTTTTGTGCCGAATTAGGAGTAACGACTGCTAAAATATTTGTTAGCGACATAGACCATAGATGGAACTCTACTTATTTGCTATTAAAGTCATGTGAAGGTTTTGAAAATTTAATAACTGACTTTTATTATAATAGATATGTTAGAAGTGATGACGATGGTATGTTAAATGAATCCGATTGGATTTTAGCTTTCAAAGTTAAACTATTTTTGACATTTTTTTATGAGACTACAAAGATTTTATCCGACGTTTATTATCCCACAAGCTGTATGGTACTTGAATGCCTTTATATAATTGCAAGAACATTCCATAAATATAAAAATGATCCTGCTTTTAGTGAAATTATAATTGTTATGAAATTAAAATTTAAAAAATATTGGAAAGAATTGCCTATGTTATTTCCTTTAGCATGCGCAATGGACCCCCGATATAATATTTCGGGAACTAAATCCGTAATTGATCAAATCAATAAAACTTTAATACTTGATACACCTATCACCTATAAGAATTTAGAGCAAACATTATGTGGAATATATTATTTATATGCGGAAAGAATGAGTGTGAATGTTAGTCGGGTACCCTCTGCACCTACTTCTTTTGCTGAAATTGAAAAAGATGATGCCGAAATAATGAATTTATTTCAAAGCACTAATACATTTAGATATGATGCAATTGCAATGTGTTCATCTAGTGCCGTGTTATCTACATTTGCATCTCATCAAACATCGGTCGAAACTCAAAATACGATGCCTGCCGAATTAATTGATTACTTCAATCATAATATACAAATAGACAGAACAATTAAAGAAAGTTTAGAAGAAGTAATTGAATTCTAGCGAAAGTATGAAAGACATTGACCAATTGTTTCTGCAATTACAAAACATCTGCTAACACCTCCGATTAGTACTGTTGTTTCGGAGTTTGCTTTTAGTGCAGGTAAAAAGGTTTTGACCGATATCAGGAGCCGACTGAAAGAAGATGTTTTGAAAGCGTTAACGTGCGTGAAGGATTGGCAGGATGATCATTTTCGACTACAAGATAAATATGCTGAAATTGCATGTTGTTAGGTAAGTGATATTTGATTTAATTATATTAATCAAAATTTCTTTATTTTTTAATTGTTAAATTTAATTTTCTTTAAAAAATTGTACACGTTACAACAAGTTGTTCGTGTACAATTTTTAACTCCGCCTACTTAAAATTAATGTAGCCGGTCCCAAACCCGGATAAAGGAGGAGGGTTTACATTTTATCTACTTTAAAAAGAAATTAAAAAAATATATTTTTTCTAAATGTATTTCAAAAAATAATTCGCCTTCATTATATAAATATTTTATACTTTATAAAAAATATTACAATATGATATAAATAAAAAAAATAAAAAAGTGTCTTCATTAAATTATTTGTATTTTTTTAACACTTTTTATTTTTTTAAAGTGTTTTCATTATATTATTTCATTTATTTGTGTTTTTCCCTTTGTAAAATAAAATTAAAAAAAGGGGACGAGCCCACGAGCTCGTGGGCCGAGCTGAGCTTGCCCAAATTCCAAGTCGAGCCCAAGCTCGACTCGTTGAAAACGAGCCACGAGCTCGGCTCGCGCGACGAGCTGAGCTTGCCCAAATTCCAAGTCGAGCCCAAGCTCGACTCGTTGAAAACGAGCCACGAGCTCGGCTCGCGCGACGAGCTGCACTCGTTATGTCGGCTCGGCCCATTGCCACAACTAACCACCGCTAAGTTGGACTATTCTTTAGTCAAAATATCAAAAATCTATTTGTGTCAAAATCTCGTAAGAAATTAATTTTAAAAACAAAGACTCATACCCAAATTAAAATGAATCTCCCTTGCATAGTTCTGTCTAAAATCTGCCCGAGACCTTTTGCCTAAACCATCAATCTTTCGCCTCAGCCCAACACTTCTTGCCACCGTGAAGAACCGGAAGAAATCGAGGTTAGTATACATTGTTTAAAGATGAC